TAAGTGTGTGAGACCAAGGTCCTATAGAAGGTGACTCTGGCTCAATCCCACAGGGTAGCACCTGTAAAGGGAACTGCCACCCTACTGTTCAGGTGTTGGTCCAGGGTAGCCCCAGAAGATGTAAACTGGTGGTGCTTTTGTTTTTAGTTCATATCTGTAGGCAAGGTGGGCTCCAGGGGTTCAACGGTGTCTGCCCACAAGGGGACGCTGGTGCTGTCTGCCAGGAGCGTAAGCAGCTGGGATAGATTTACAAGTTGGGTTCTGACAGTCTGCTCAACTGGGTCATTTTGTACAGGTTTCCTAGCTTTTCCAAGTCTTGGCTAACCCTTCTATGGCTTGGCACATTCTATTTCTACATTTTCTTTCAAGGCTTTACATTGCTCGGAGTTTCTTATTTGTGCTGTGGCCAAATTTCTCTTTGTTACTTCTACCTCCTACTCTTGGTCTGCCCTCTGTGGCCACGAGATCACTGTCCACTTCGGAAAGTTTAAACTAGTGATCTTTTAACCCCAGGCATCCTTTTCTCTTAGCCCCAAATCTCCAGCCCCTTCACCCGCTTCCCATGGGAGGAAGCATTTTCCGTCCCTATCCACCTCTGGCTGGCCTCTCTGGGCATTCCCTGGTTTATTCATGAGCCTCTTAAAACGTGGCATCCAGACGAAAATTGGGGCTGCAGTTGGAAATATTCTGATCTGAATATCCAACCAAATGCTGTTTGCAAAAATGGGTTGGTTACCGAGTCATCAGCTTCAGTGACCCGCTGTTAATAACACACTCTTGTGGGGATATTCTTGTTAATGTGACCAGTCATGTGACATGGGGCAGAGGCCACTACCTTTTCCTGTCTAAGTCTTTGACCTCTGATCTTTTGGGGCTAGTGGGCTTCCTCTTTTTTTTGGGGGGGGGAATGTTGACAGCACACCCATACCAAGTCATTACTGAGAATAGCAAATTCAGGATATAGCAGAAATTACTAACAATCCTCTGTCTCACTTTTGAGTGCATCAGAACCACCAGGAGGGCTGCTCAGTTTCTGAAGAGGTAGGTTTGAAGTGGGGCCAAGAACTTAAAATTCCTAAGAGATTCCCAGATGATACTGCAAGGGACCACTGAGGACCACTGCTCTATTACATTTCCTGGATGCTTGGTGTTATGAGTGTTTAGAAGATTTTAGCCAAAGGAGGTAGAAGAAGAAAAAAGACATCTGTTTTGTGTACCTGTGCCAAGAGCAGTCATGTATATATATTCTAAGTTTAATAATGGTATGGATGTAGAGTCAGTATCCTCCTTGTAAAAATAATAAAATGACACCCAGGATTTAAGTCACTTAAAGTCACATGAGGCAGATCTGAAATTGGAGCCCAGGTCTGTCTGACCCCAAAGCCTAGACCTTTCTTACTCGCCACACTGTTCTTTAAGCCATCGCCTGTGCCAGAATGTCAAAATCACTCATGATTAGAACATACACACACACTTGCCTTGAAACCCTTTTGCTTGAATTGTATGTCATAAACATACATTTCATATACATGCAAAAAAAGGTTTTGGAAGAGGGTAAAGATAACATGAAATTTGTTTTCTAATGTATATGTTATTGTTTTTAATAATATTTTGCAGGCTTACCAGGATGTGTCTTCCACCCCAGCTGTGCAAAGGGAAGAAAGGGAACAGAGAAGGAAGTACATGTCCTAATCAAGTTCCTCTTACTAACCCCTTACTCCTCTCACCCATGTTGCCTTTTCCTATTTCGGTTCAATTCAACGTTAGTCATGCCAAAGACCATGAGAGGGACTGGAGATACAAAGGCCAAGAAACAGTCTAATGGGGGAGGGCAACTTCTAAAGATCATTTTCAACCTAATGATCAGATCCTGTGACATCTGCACATCACCACGTGTTCATGTTGGATTGCACCGTCTGCTTCTAGAAGGCCCAACTTAACAGACACACACACACACACACACACACACACACACACACACACACACACAACAACTGAAAAATCACACACTGAAATGTTATTTAACATACTTAATGTTGCACAGAAATTAAAGAATTTATACTTTCCATTAACATTACTCAAAGGACAGGAATGTTCTTGGATGAATTTAAATTTTCTAAACAAATATTATATTGGATATGTAAACACATCCAATATGACAATTTCTCCCCTTAACACAGTTCATCATATCTTCAATGGCAAAACATACCAAGGTGGCATGTTGGGTCAGCAAGGAACACAAAATTGGGATGTAAAATTGGATTGTTGATGGCGAGAGTTTAAAGTCTTCCCCCAGCATTTCATTCTCAAATGTGACATTTTGGATTTAACTGAATGCATGTCGATGGGTAGGTCTGCTCCAATTTGGGGTTAAAAATACGCTGTTTAAATAGCTGCATCTAAATTCTATCACTCTGAAATTCGGCTTAAATAAATCGTGCTGCACTATTTTTATCATATACGAGGTCACATAAAGTGGTGGGCAGGGAGCAATGGATACCGGTCCAGACTTCGGAACTCAATATCCAAGTCACCCCCACAAACTGTCCTCCCTCTGGGGCTCATTTGCCACATTTATTTAGAAAGAAAAACAAGAAATTGTGGCGTAAAGGGAGAGGGTTTGGCTAAAGGATCTCAAAGATTCTTTCTAGCAAAATTCTATTAGGTTGAGGAAAGGCCATTTAATTTCACCATCTAGATAGGTCTGTGCACAGTGAATCATATTGGTATTTTATTTTTGAAATATAACTTTTAGTACTTAAAAAGGAAAAATCAACCATAAACCCATCTGAGCGCTAACATTAGTAATCGGAGCACTTTTAGCCTCTGGAATTTGAAGCAAGCCCTTAACCGGAGCCCCCAACCTGCATTTTATAATTTGGATATTTTTAAGTCACAAAGTAGTTCCCTATTTGACAAGGAAGCAAAATACTTCTACTAATATCTTTATGCACTTCCAGGATTCTTTCTCTCTTTTTTTAAAAAAAATATATTTTATTGATTTTTTTAATAGAGAGGGATAGAGAGCTAGAAACATCGATGAGAGAGAAACATCAACCAGCTGCCTCTTGCACATCCCCTACCGGGGATGTGCCCGCAACCAATGTACATGCCCCTGACCGGAATCGAACCTGGGACCTTTCAGCCCGCAGACCGACGCTCTACCACTGAGCCAAACCGGTTTCGGCTACAATTATTTCTAATTAGAGACCTTGTAAGTACTAATGAGTATCAAGTAAATAGTGGTAACATTTTACCCATCCTTGTGTTTTTTCCCTATGAAACAGAACCCCAGCTGTTAGAAACGCAAGTTAATACCCGCAAAAGGTTCACAGATGGCCAGAGGGGTTGCATTACAAAATAGAAAAAATTCATTCTAGATGAAATAAAAACACAGAGTAGCCTCCACACTGGCCAAGGAAAGTGATAGCGATTATTTACGCATTTAAGAGCAGAATGTAGGAGATGGGAGAACTGTTTCCCTAATGTCTAAGATTGGGGTGGTTTTAGCCATCCTTTCTCTGCTGGGTGCATCTTATAAAAATAACTTCATGGAGGAGGGGGCGGGGGCTAGGAAAATCCAGCCTCTCCGGAACTTAGCAGCGTTCCTGTCCATTATCTCATCATGGCCTTGGAGATGTAACAGGCAGTAATTAGACCAGAGCCTGGAAAACCAAGGAGAGAAGCTGATTTATTCAGGAATGGTTTTCTTAAAGCGAGTGGTCATTCAAAGGCAGACAACTCAAGTCAGCTACAATTTCCTTGTCCACTCTGTCAAGGGATGGGCCGGGCAGGGTCCGAAAACAAGAAGCCTGGAGGGAAGCCGGGATGGGAGCAAAATGTGAGACCAGCAGGAAAAGCATTGAGCCTTGCAAGCTCAGTGCAGGTGAGGGGCAAGCTGAGTGCAGGTGAGGGTTACCTAGCGCCGCCAGCTGGGAGCCCAGATTCCTTCGGGCGGGGTTCCGGCCAGCGGCTCCTCTGAGCACCCTGGGCTCCAGGGTGTCAACTCGCAAAATCGCCTCTTAATCCTCGCTCTCGCCGGATGAAAGCACAAACTTGGGAGCCGGAGGCTTCCTTCCCGGGACACCGCGGGGTGGACGCTCCTCCAGCCCAGCGGGCCGCCCCTCCCCATAGGGACCCTGGATGGCCTGAGCCTCTCCCCTGAGAGCTTCTCCTATACCCCCAGCCGAGATCCAGGGACCCCTGGAGATCAGAGGCTCTGGGAGCAGCGGGGGAGAGGTCCTGGGCCCGGCAGCTTCCTCCCAGATCCCGGCTCTCTCGGTCCGCGGCCAGCAGCCCGGGCGCGGGGCGGGGGGCGGGGGGCGGGGGAGGCCGCGGCCGCGCTATTCTTGTCGCGGTGAGCTACCGGCCTGTTATGAGCAGCACCCAATCACGCCTCCGACTGGCCGCGCTGACCCGCACCCCCCTCCTCCCTAATCCCCTAGGCTTTGATTTGATCCTCTGCGCGGAACAAGCTCCCCACCACCCCCTGCCCCCGCCCCATAGCCAGTTGTCCCTGCCCTCTCGGATGCCCGCAGAAACGGTCCTCTTCATCCGCCCTCGGGAGGTCAGAGCCCTCGTCTTGTACTCCCGGACGCCCCGAGGCGGGCCACATCCGCGCATCGGAGCCGTCGGAGGTCCGGTACCCCGGGAGCAGGTCTGCTCGCAGCAAGGCCCTTCCAGGTGATGGTGCGAGGCCGCTGCGGCCCCCGGCGCGCAAGTGTGGGCTCCCCAACCCGGGCCGGCGTGGGGGCTTTGGGCAATGCCCTGGCAGCCTGGGAAGCCGCGCAAGCCGAACCCTGCACCTCCCGGAACCCTCCGCGCCCCCCACCACTAGGGGCTTCTGGAAGCCAGTCCGGACCCAATTGGCTCTGAGAGGGATCGGGGGAGATCTACGAATCTGGATGAAGGATTTAAGGATTTAAGCTGAGCAGGACAAACTTGGGCCCCTGAGGCTCGCTGGGGGGCCCCAGGATGCCCCAGCCCCCACCCCGGGCACCATGAGCTACTTCCTGTCTTACTGCAAAGCGCACGGCGGCGCGCTGCTCACTGGCTACCAGGCCCTGCGCGCCGAGGGCTTCCTGTGCGACGTGACCTTGGAGGCTCAGGGCAGCGAGTTCCCGGTGCACCGGTCCCTGCTGGCCTGTTCCAGCGACTACTTCAGGGCCCTGTTCAAGAGCCACACGCTGGAGTCCAGGGCGCACGTGATCCACCTGCACGTGCCCTCGGCGGCCGCCCTGCAGCGCCTGCTGGACTTCATCTACACCGCCTGGCTGCCGCTCTCCCTGGACACCGTGGAGGACACGCTGGAGGCCGCCAGCTACCTGCAGGTCCCCGGGGCCCTGGCGCTGTGCGGCCGCTACCTGGAGCGCCTGCTGGCGCCAGACAACTGCTGCTTTGCGGCCAATGTGGCCGCGCGCTTCGGCCTGGCGTCCACCCTGGCCGCGGCCGAGCGCTACATCGGGCGCCACCTGCGCCAGCTGCTGGCCCGGGGCGCAGGCCCCACGGGGCTGCTGGAGCTCAACCCCGGGTCCTTGAGGGCCGTGCTGGGGGCCCCCGACCTGGCGAGGGTGCCTGAGGCCCGGCTGCTGGGCCTGGCGCTGGCCTGGCTCCGCCAGGAGCCCGCGGCTGAGCGCCTGGCCCACTGCACCGAGCTGCTGGAGCGTGTCCGCTTCGGCCTGGTCCCCGCAGACACGCTGCGGCCCTTGTACTCGGGCTCCGGCCTGGCACTGCCCACCCGGGTCAAAGGCCTCATCATCCAGGCGCTCACCTACCACTCCGCGCCCTCCCGCCAGCCGCTGCTGCAGGGCGAGCAGACCAGCGTGCGGAGTCCGCAGACCCGCATCCTCCTGGTCGGGGGGCGCCGGGCACGGGAGGCGGTGACCGAAGAGGTCATGGTCATGGTCATGGTCCCCCGAGGGGCGGCCAGGGGTAGGGCAGCTGCAGTGGAACCAGAGGAGGAGGAGGAAGAGGAGGCGGAGGAGGCAGAGGAGGAGGAGTGGGAGCTCACCCAGGACGTGGTGGCCTTCGACGTGTACAAGCACCGCTGGCACAGCCTCACACGGCTCCCCGCGCCGCTTGTGGGGCACAGCGTGTGCACGATCGGCAACTTCCTGTTTGTCCTGGGCGGGGAGAGCCCTTCCGGTGGAGGGGCCTCCTCCCAGAAGGCCGACGGCCCGCGGGAGGTCACCGCCCTCGTGCACCGCTACGACCCGCGCTTCCACGCCTGGACGGCGGTGCCCGCGATGCGGGAGGCGCGGGCACATTTCTGGTGCGGCGCCGCGGGCGGGGGGCTGCTGGCCGTCGGGGGTCTGGGCGCGGGCGGCGAGGCATTGGCCTCGGTGGAGATGTACGACCTGCGCCGGGACCGCTGGACCCAGGCCGGGGCGCTGCCGCGGGCCCTGCACGGCCACGCGGGGGTCGTGGGGGACCTCGGGATCGTGTACATCTCCGGGGGCAAGGCGGGGAGGGGCGAGGGCGGCGCGAGCAGCTTGAGGGACGTGTACTCCCTGGGCCCCGGGGACCGGGCCTGGAGCAAGAGGGCGCCCATGGGCACGGCCCGCTTTGGGCATCATATGGCCGCGCTCCGGGGCGCTGTGTTCGCCTTCCTGGGGCACTACGAGCCCTTCTCGGAGATCGAGCGTTACGACCCCGGCGCCGACCAGTGGACTCGGCTGCGGCCGCTGCCCTATGATCGCTTCTGCTACGGGCTGGCGGTGGTGGAGGAGACGGCGCTGCTGCTGGGCGGCGTCAAGTGGCGGGACTCGCGCCAGGTGCCCACCCGCAACGTGGTGGGCTATGACCTCGACCTTGACCGCTGGGAGGACATCGACTGTGCGCTACCCTGGGCCTGGAGCGGCCTGCAGTGCGCGGTGCTGCAGCTCCCGGAGGGTGCTGATGATGAGACAGAGGGAGAGGCTGGAGATGCTCCAGATTTAGTGTCAGGCTTAAGGAGTTAGTGCCGTCTCAGATCCAAGGAGGAGGAGGTTGTGTCTGAGCAGGTTTACTGAGCCACGAGTGGGCTTTTCCTAAGGATGGGACTCTGGACACTGAGTGGCATCTGAAGGTTCAGGAGGCTAAAGGGGGTTTGGCCAAAGAGGAGCATTTCCCTTTAAGCTGAGAAGGGGAGACAGGAGACGTCATAGTGAAGGGCATGTGAACCAGCTTCAGGGAGCTAGTGATTTCTCGAAATTCTCATGATGCTGGGCCAGGGATGGGCTTTCAGAACTAAAATATGACCCTATGTGTCTTCTCTTAGTTAAGGGTTTTCCTAGGTGCTAACTAGTGATTACATTTGTGCCTAACAGATTGCCAAAAAAGGGGACTATAAGAAGACCCAGAAAATAATTATAAAGGCTGTAATAAATAGTCCAAGAAAATGGCATTATCTGAATGAACAGTGAAGGGAAAGTGCCTTGGTTAAATAGGGAGAAATATGATTTTATGGTCTAGAACCCTGGTTCTGCTCTAGTTTCATATAAACATAGAACTGAGAGGGGGAAATGATCTCTAAGAAAGCACCTTTTATTTTTTATAGAAACAACCTGGCTTACTTGTTTTCTGTCCTTCATCCTTACTTACCCCTTGTCTGCCTTTGTGGTGAATTTAGGCAGTTCATTGCTTTTAAGTTTTATTTCAGCAACACTTAGCCATAATAATCAGACTCCTTGGTTAAGTGGAACATCTAACAAAAACGAAACTTTTCTTTCATCCTTTTTAAATATATATTTTATTGATTTTTCACAGAGAGGAAGAGAGAGGGATAGAGAGTCAGAAACATTGATGAGAGAGAATCATCAATCAGTTGCCTCTTGCACACCCCCTACTGGGGATGTGCCCACAACCGAGGTACATGCCCTTGACCAGAATCGAACCCGGGACCCTTCAGTCCCCCGGCCGATGCTCTATCCACTGAGCCAAACCGGGTTCGGCTCTTTCATCCTTTTTAAATGTTCATTCTGAAGACATGCTGTAGGTTATGTTTTAAAAATACAATTTATTTTTGTGCCCCCCCTTCCACCTAATTTCCCCAAAGACTCACAGAGAAAGAAAGAGGAGTAGGTGACAGTCAAGGAAACGGGAAACCAGCTTGATTCTACAGGGGTTCAGAGAAGATGCTTGCATACAGAACAGATACTTCTGGCTTGTACCACCAGTGAAGCGGCAAAGTCAGAACTCATAACTGGGGATGGGGGAGAAGAAGTTGGGGGAAGGGAGGGCTGGTGGCTGTATGATTGCAAGACAAAGAAATATGGCGAGGACTCTGAATAAAGCAGGTGCCTTATAAGGATTCAGTAAGAGCTGAATTTATTTGACTTCAGTTTACAGCGCTGCCTCTCTCCTAGATTTGAAACTAATGCAATAAAATGTACAGAGATATAGTGTTAAAAGGTCTCTTTCATGCTAGGCTAGCCACAAGTCTTTGAAAATTCATTAGTTGAATTTTTACCATGAAAACAACACAGCTGACTTTACATAAGGAAAAGCTGCTTCGTAGCAACACAGCTAGTCTTTCCATCAACTGCTTGCTATCTACAGGGCACACCATGGCCCCTGTATTTGTGACACATCCATCAGGTACAGATATTTTTAATCGAATGTACACATTTAGTCTAGTAAACATCAACAAGTCTAAATACCTGTAACAAGCACACTTCATTTTAGGACAAGAGGTTTTTTTTTGTTTGTTTGTTTTACATATACAAAATCCCACAAATGTGTGTCAATATCCATGCAGTAAATAAATGTTTTTACAAAGAGGTTTTTTAAATGATAAAAATATTACACTGGACCCAAAATTCCATACAAACATGAATACGTGATTTCTCATCCATTTTGACTAAATATAGATAGGATTACTGAAAATGTGCTGAAGAAAGGCCACTTTCCTGTACAGTTGTGCAAAGTCTGCAAAACGATAGTGATTCCATGGTGGTTTCAAAAGCAAAGAAAAAAGATCCCCGCTGTGGAGTTTTTTTTGTTTTTTTTTTTTACTTTTTCCTCGACAGCAAAAAAAATGAAAAATAAAAAAAATATTCACTGGCATATATCTGAACTCTTAGAGATGAAAGTACATTCACTGAGCTGGACAGGCAACAGTAGAAAGCTGATTAGAAGTAGAGTTTAGGATATAGAAAAGGAGGTTTCCTTCTTCCTCCTGAAAAAACAGCAAATTGGGACTTGTACGTTATGCAGCCAGACACTAAAAAGCAGCACAGTCACTGTCATGCTGGGATCACTTTTACAAAACGAGATGCTCAGTAAGTGGAAATATATGAAGAGGACGTTTTCATAGACTTCATCCACTTTATAGAACAATTCACGAAGCCAGGAGAAAGCTCTAGAAATTGTTTCTCTCATATAATGCAAGGTAAAAGAACTCTGAATGGCCATCATCCTCTTGCTCCTCGGGAGAGAGGTACAGTTTTATTTTGCAATATTGTTTTCTATATTATAACACACATCCACCTGTAATTACACATATTTTATTTCCCTGCCTGAAGTAGTACTCCATAAGTTTCATCAGTGGGCTAGTGGGAAAATTGGAAATGAACTGGATAGTTGGTTAATTTCCGTTTAGACCTTGTAGTTTTGTTTTTTTAAGAGTTGCAGTTTAAAAGCACGAGTTTGGGCCGAGATTTTGTATATATACCTGTTAGCTGCCTTTCTGGGTGAGTTAAATGTGTTTTAAAAAATCCACTCTCAAATTCCTCTGTACACAATCAGCATATCATCGCTACAAAAATAAAGGAAGATTTAAACCAAGAAAATAAAGCAGCTCTATCTTCAATTTTGGTCTTTGTTACAAAAACATCTTACAAAGCTTTGCCCTGATACACCATTAAGTGTCCCCATAGATTTGGAATAGTATCCCCATTAACCAGCTTTCACAAGTTAATAGACTATGAAGACGAATATTAGATACCTGAACTTTTCTTATGTTGATGCTCTTCTTGTTTGCTTTAACTCTTTTAGGCGCGTCTACATTTCACAAAAATAAAACTACAGCTTACTTTGTGCAATGTTTAAGAAAATCCTCAGAACATTTTAATAAATATAAAAAAGGTTTAAATTCTTTCCCACCCACAAGGATGTCTGCACCTGAAAAAATGTGGATTCACTTTGAAGTCTTATTTATATAAAATTAACTGAAAGGGAGAAAAGATGACCTTAAGATAGAAAACCGCCATTTTGTATTTTTCTACTTGAACGCCATCTGTCTTCAGGATAGTCTGCAAAAGTTCATTTTAAATCATTGAAGACAGTTGTTTTTGCACATGGTAAACATAAGCTGAGCACTAATTGCATATAAAATATACAAATGCTCATTAAAGACAATGGTATTATGACCATATATGGTTTGTTTCATATAGTTTGGTAACACTGAAGTATAGCTTGTCAAGTGTCCCACACACTGACAGAAAAACTACCTTATATACTTGTTCCAAGTACCCGAAGGTACCAGATGGACTGAGGACAGAATACACTTACACATGCGTTTCAATGTAGGAATGAGTGTGTGTGAGAGAGGAAGTGATTATATCTACGTCAGAAGAAATACTTAATGGGTCATTTGAGGTGGTGTTTTGACAGATATCCAAGAAAAGATCGAGGTACATCTGCTTCCACTGTTGGAATTCTTTAGATGTCAAATCTGGATTGTCTAGGACTTTATCAATAATGGCCACTTCCCCTTCTCTGGCCTGAAAAGCAAAAGGATTCAATAGTTAAGATGTGGACAAACTTATGTTCAAGTTTAAGATAACAAGTTAATAGACAAAAAATTAAAAAGCCCATAAGAAATGGCTCTGGTATATCCACACTCAGTTATTTAGACTAAAATTCTAGTGTGCTTTTTTCTACCCCCAAAGGTATGCCCTGTATTGCCTATTCTCTGTGGTTTATTTTTCCTCATTTATCATCTCTACATATGGGAACCTTCCTCGTCATTTAAGGTCCAGTTCAAATGCCTCTCATTTCCTAAAGTCTTCCTTCAACAGTTGGAAAAAATGTTCCCTCCCTCATTGATTTTCCCATAACACTTTATCGCTGCCATTGAGTGGACTTACCACATTTTGCTTTGAGTTAATTTGACACTGTCCTTTCTTTCCTGCTAGGTGGTCAGTACCTATGTGTTATGTGTCCAAGGAAGGGGTTGGGAAATCTAGAGAATGTTCTGCAAGAAGGGGGAAAGCTCACTTCTGGACTAGCCACAACCAAGCAGTTGTTCCGGTCCTTGGGGCCTGACAGAGACAGGAGGGCTCTGACCAAGGATGTTCTGTGTCCCCCTGTGCTTGGTGAGGGGCCTGTTACAATTGCAGGAACCACATACCCAGGGTTGCTTGGGCAGTTGTCTTTCTCAAATGGGAAATTTCCATTTCCTGTGCATTTCCCCGCACTGAAAAGTGTAGGGCTCTATAGTTTGTTTGTTTCTTTAACCAATAAGGGTCATTCTTTTCTTTTATAAAAATTAAATTTATTGGAGTGACATTGGTTAATAAGATCATGGGGACAAGTGGAGAGATCAACCAAAGGACTTGTGTGCATGCATATGAGCCTAACCAGTGGTCACGGACAACAGGGGGATGGAGGCATGCATGGGGAGGGATTTGGGATGGGAATGGGGGGGATGAGGACAAATATGTGATACCTTAATCAAGAAAGAAATTAAAAAGTTAAAAATATCATACAGGTTTCACTTATGCAATTCTACGACAAATCATCTGTATATTGCCTTGTGTGCCCACCACCCCAAGTCAAGTCATCTTCAGAGGGGCATTTCCATACAGTGTTTTTTTTTTTTTATCATCTTTCTTTGCCCCCAGAGAGCAGAGCACAGCATCACATAGCTGGTGACTCATCAATACTCACTGAATGGAAAATACTCTTTTTTTGGTGGGAGGGGATCTATAGAGCATCAAAGATAGGGGTGAGGGGCTGAGAGGAAGAGGGACAGAAGCAGGTTTCTAAAATATGTGAGTCTGACCTGCTTCCAAGTGCCTGCTGGCTGTTCTGACCAGGCAGTTTAGATCTGAATGTAGGGTGAGGGGTGGAGGGTGGGTCTGGAAGGTGAGAAGGTAAAGATATCTTTGGAGTAGAATTGGTCACCAGAATTATTCTTACAAATATATAGCTCTTTTTTAAAAACCTATAACAACAACAACAACAACAAAACTTAAAAAATTGGTCATGAGGTTGTCCCAAGGATTTGCGATAGCATTTGCATGAATACCAATTGAAAGCTAATTGACTGAGAACTTGACTGCCTGCTACAGGAAATGTTTTCAAATAATGCATTTTCTATTTTACCTTTTTGTTACTCATCTACGTTTCAAAATCACAAAACCTCAGCAACATACTATTTATCTGAAATATTCCCCAAAGGAGCCCTTTTGTCTGTAGGATAGTCCCCCCCCCCCCTTTTTGATTTTCAAGGGTGCAGGTTCTGTGTGCAGGAGAGTTTGTGTGGCAGGCCCTCTAAACACCCCCCCCTAACCCACCCCCCCTGCTTACAATGTTCATTTTTTTGCCTCCTTGGACTTCCTGCCTCTCTGCTCCCCTCTCCTCAGCACCTCCTCCCCAACTGGTGGGTGGCATAATAATAAGCCCAGAGACAATGTAAGAACTTGTGGAAATGTATACTAGGAAAATAACATGGGAATTGGGAACTGATAGTGTAAAGAGAACAATTATAGAATCTCTACAGAGAGCATGAATCACTATAGCTTCAGGAAATTGTCCTAAACTATCACACACCGTTTTAGCACCCACTACTGCGTTCTGCACGCATTCTGTGTTCTTCTAATAGTTATATCACTTATACTACATGGCGCATTTGTCTCAGGAAAACGAAAGCCAGTAATAATACCAGTCTCGCAGTTTTGGAAAAAATGATGAATCACATTCTCCTAGAACGAAGTCACATAACATTTAGTCAGTTCTTAGAGATGCTAATGAAAAGTTTAGATTATTTCCTCTTTACTAAAAGAACAGCTTAGCTTCAGCTTCTTCCTATGTACCTATTCCCCGCCTCCCTTCCCATTTTCTATTTCTTCATCTAGTGTGTCTGGTAATCACCTTTGAATTCAGGAAGGAATCTCTTGAAAGAAATGTCTCCTTCCATTTCCTATCTTACCTTTAAAGTGCTTTTGAGAATTCGCAGCCTGTGCAGTTTTTCATTCATCACAGGATCATTACATCTCTTTATGAATGATAGCTTGTATTCCATCTTGGTTGAAATGCGATGTTCTCCCAGTGGTGACAGACTGGCTTGCTCCAATGCCCTGTATAAATCTTGCAATGAGTCTCCTAACTTTTCTCCCCTACTTTCACCTGCAATGGCCAAAAAGAGAGAGAAATGAATCCAGTGTAATGAATAGTTATTTGATACTCCATAAATCTACTAAAATATCATCTGAAAAAAACAGGATAATGAATGATTGGAAATACACTCTATTACATTAAAAAAAAATCCCAACAAACCCACAGCTGCTAGTTACACTGAGTAAGATTAGCTCCAGGCAGCCGATTGTTCTAGAATGATCAAATAATAGGATGCTTTGACTTAACAAAATATGTTCTTGAATAGCAAATCACCGTAAATATCTGGAGTCCATTATAAGTTCTTAGAATTCGAGTATAAAAGGTACACAACACAGAAACAATCCTATACATAATTTAATATTATAAAACATTAATAAATAACCCTTAACATTATATTGGTAAGCATAGAAATACTGATTAATATGACTCTCCTGGTTTGGCAATAAACAGATTTTTACCTTTTCCAGACTTCATAAAATGGAATGGCATTCATTGGAATTTATTTGATTATAAAAATCACCCAATAGTGTGCCATCAATTATTATTAGGTTCAATGTGACTGCCATAATAATGCTCACCACATTGTACGTATAGTAAGTGATCACAAATTATCAATAATAATGCTTTCATCAAATGAAATATGGGAATAGGTTTATTTTCAAATTTATCAATTTGGCACATACCAAGAGTTTGTAAGCATCTGTAAGACTTGGGAAGAAAACATTCCAAGTCTTATTCCACAATGAAATGTTTTTGTGAAAAAAAAATCTTAAGAGACTAATTCAGGAAAGAACCTCAGATCTATTTGAACAAATCACACTCCCATCCTGTTCTTTAATTGCCTGAATTTTGGTGTCATATCTTTCTCAACAATGATAAACAAAGATGAACTTTGATTTCACTTCCGATGGTAGATAGAATGAGAGATCTATCATGTTTCCTTTAACAGAGAGCCAGATTCCTCTTTGAGGAGTACTAATTGTATTGGCCCAAGGAGGAAGTGTAGAATGTTGTTCATTCTACCATGATCCATGTGAATATTTTAGGCTGACATAGTTCAAAGATGCTCTGGTAATAATAGTAGTTCATATTTATACTTGCCAAGAAGTAGGTAAATGCATAATGTTCATAATCCTTACAACAAAACTAAGAGTAGATATATTTGATTTTCACTTTCTAGCACGGAAGTACCTTGGTCAAGATCACAGTAACTGGTGGAGCTAGAATTCCAACTGGGCAGTCTAGCTCCAGAATCTATAATGTTAAGAATTTGATTCTGCCCATTTTGTTAATCTTCATTTGAACTGTGTATTTAACAGTAAGTGCTAATGAATGTGTGCAGCATTCTTAAATTTTTTTAGAGTGTACCTAACACCACCACCAAAGCCCACAAACATGGTGCCTTAACTTAAAGGGATCACTTTTAGGATTAAAAAGCGTCATTGAAGTTTCATGTTCAATTTTTGGTTCTGCTGCTGAGGTCAGCCATTATGAGTAGTAGGATTATTGAGTCCTGCCATTGGCAAGTGCCTTCCCTCCTTTTTATTATTGTTATCATCAGCACACGCCATTACTAACCCCATGAATTTTAACTTCCTAACAATATATCTACATGAGAACTATAATCTACAAACACAAACATCCCTTTAAATAACAGCTTTTAAATTCTCCGTTGGCTCCTCCATGAATGTTTGCAACACCTAGAAGATTCTGATGGGTGGGGACTATACAAAAGAATAACTGCTTTGTGGGTTAAGAGCAAGATTGAAACGGGATAGGGAATTTTAATTGAGAATTGCTTGGAGCCAGCAAGGCACAAAATCATAAGGTCATTCAGAGTACCTAAATGGAGTTGTAAGAACAAGGATCATTTGAACAGCATAATTCCATTTCATAAAAGCATAGGCCAGGGAAGGACCTGGAGGAATTATTTAGCAGGTATCATTCTTTTCGCCTCAAGGAAAGACTGCATCCAAAGCTCGATGTAATTTCATAGGGCAGAGAATGGGAGAGAAATGGGAGACTTAACAGCTGTGAATTACAGTAGTTTAGATATCAGTAGCCTGATGCATTATTAGTTTCACAGTTTTTGAAAGAAGGTGGAGAAGAAAAGGGATTCAGTTCAGAGTTGTAGCATTTAAAGGAGGCAGACTATTTTTACATAGTCAAGTTTTACTTACAAATAACCTTCTTCCATATTACCTAAAACTGTAGGGTGTATGTATTTTGTTTAAAAAAAAATTCTTACACAGTTTTCTTTCTCCTCAGTTCTTCAAGTTTGTGAACTACTGGGCCAGTATGAAAATTGATTTTTTAAAATAAAATTTCGATGCAGTTTTAGTTTAAGAAGGATAAAAGGCACAAGCATAGCTATTCAATAAATAAAAACAAAAAGGTCCACTCCCCCTCCCCCCCGCCATTAAGGGGGAATAAAAGCATTCAACCAAAGGACAACACAATTCTACAATCTAGTTTGACAGATGTGCGGATAATTGAGCAGAGATTTATCTCTGGGTAGTACATTGGAACAAGAGATCACAATGAGACGGAACACAGAGACATCTCTAAGTACAGCCATGGAGTAGCATGGCCCCTCTTAGAGATAAGTAAGATCTCCTCCCTTCCCCCTACACATAAACACATATGCAACATCACAAGACACAGCAGTGGGATGAGGAAAGATGAGGGATTGAGATGCCAGGCTACCACGAAATGCCACCAATCACTGAATATTTGAAGACTAGACAAAGAGTACTTTTGTTTTCAAAGGAGGGGGGGGAGGGGCAGAGTCACATTATAAATCTGATTCACTGTGCTCCACAGTCAAAACAACACAGAACTCAACATTCAAGACAAAAACAGACCTTTATTTTCTTTTATAATTTTCAATTGGTTCCCTTGAGTTTTTTTTTTCTCTCTCTCTCTCAGATGAATACCAATTAAGTCAATGGTGGCCACTGTTGCAACTGAAAATACGAAAGCACCTTTATTTTCTTCTCGTTTTTGCCCTCTTCCTCTTCGTCTCCTTTTTACTTCTCTTCTGGTTTCCCCTCTTTTGAAAACCCTTGCTTTTCTTCTTCTAGGAGAGGCTTGCTTTGGAAGAGCAGGCAAGCACTTGGTGAGGTCTGCTTCCTTATTGACTTTCAACATGCCAGTTCAGCCCTTGGAGTGCTGGCGGAGTACCAGCTCTTTTGCAGTTTGAATGAATGTTTCTGAAAGTTGGCAAAGTGTAGAACACCATGTGCAAATCACAGGACATATATAGGAACCTTTAGTGATTCCTAGTAAGTATATTGCTCCTATAAAAAATTTAATTGGTATCTAATTTATTCAGGAACTCTGGGCCTTTGCAGGAGTTAATTCCCTCCCAAATTATATTTATATTTACAACAAGTGAATTGGTTTAGGTCTGTGTCAGATAACAAACTTTTCTATTGCAATTTTATGAAAGCAAATGGAACATGTAAAGTTTTCTTTCCTATATAAAATTTCATTGGCTGATAGATTTGAGGGTCCTAAGAAGTTATTGATGAGTTAACTTGCTTCTGTACCTAGGGAGGGTCATTTCCGGCTGCATCATCTGTGGCAGGGGCAAAAAGATCCTTTATTGTCTTATTGATATTCTAGCTACCTCATGAAATATTGTGACCCTATTCCTAGGTGGTGAGCACCACAGCTGTTCACTGTTTGGTGCTTTTGGGTTACCTATGACCTCCTGGTAGTGATAAAGAAGAGATCAATGAAAATATTAGCTAATGCAAAATAATAGTTTGTTAGAACTTTCTTGCAAATGGATTATTAGAGGATGATAATACAGTTCTCAAATACTGAAAGGTCTTCAGTTGATGTATTTCCTTACATTCATGCCCAGCGGTTTCCAAACATTTTTATTGTGCACACTTGTCAGTTAAAAACACTTCTGCTTTTATATAATAACTTATATACATGCATTACTCTATGTTGATATGCATGTAATAAAACAGAGAAAAGAAATAAAAAATGAGCTCTAAAAATTGAGGACACATTCCAATGTTTTTTCTTCCTGTGCATCAGTGGCCCCATTTGGACCCTCCTTCAGAGACCTAGACTGTGACTTTCCCTGAGCGGAGAACCCTCCCTCTTATTTGCATTTCCCATTCTTCTGTCTGGCACAGGGTCTCAGGTACCCAAGATTAAGCTGAATGATGATTTTTCTCTACTTTATACACACAGTGCTCCAAAGAGGGCTCCATGTCAGGCGACTGTGCAAATTTTATCCCAGTCTATTATTCAATTTTGTACATGTTCCTTTGGTGAAAATTATGGAGAGCAGAACACAAACTTGGCGACCCCCAATTTCCTGCTGGCGTCTTCCCCATTTCCCCAGGACTGTAATGACCATGTTGAAAGAAAGCAAAAGATGAAAAGAAAACGCAACAAATAGACCCGCTGGGCTCTTGAAGAACCGAGTCAACATGTTTTGGTACATGTTTTGGAAGGGAGCTGCGCGCTTTTAAAATTGGACAATGATGTCTTTCTGGAAACAGTCATTCCTTCCACAACTCAGCTGGGTAATGAGCACAGAAAGCTTGGAAGAGCTAAGTCACAAGGGGCAGAGAAGGCTGGACATAGTAGCATTAGTCACCAGTCAAATGTGAGAGGCATTCGTTCTTGCAGAGCCAGAGAGCCTAAAGGCTTCCAGGCTAATGGTGTCGCGTATGTGGAGCACTATTCTTGTCATGAAGGTCAATTAAACGTTTGCATTGAGACAACGGGAATATTTTCTGTGAATGCTAATGTACCAGTGGTCCCTGATGAACAACTTATTTATATGTAAGGTGATAATTAAACTTTTAATGGGTTTAATGTAGATGGGTTTAATGTTTATAGGTTTTATGCTAAAGATGATTATGTATTCAAGACTTTACACTGTAATGTGAATTGTCTTATAATTATATATTAGCTCTCTTAACGTATGATTTTATATAAGTCAACTAGCTATGCTTAGCATTGTAAAGCTGGGGCGGGGG